CGCTTTGGCCTGTAACAAAAACATATTTTCCAATTTTACTCCATCGTCGATAAAATTGCGAGGCTGCTGCAAACCCAAAGCGGGCCCAAATTCCAGCGGGATATATTATGCATGAATGCTGGGATTATAGAACTTCCGCCCGCCCACGTCGTGAATGTACGGTACTCCAGTGCACTGGGAAGTCGTACCCGTATGGTTTGATTAAGGCAACGGGCTGCATCAGCTTATGCTTAGGTATGATCTGCATGGTGACATCCCGACAGCTATTGTGACGCTCGTCCCGCGCCGCAGACGCCGCATTAATGGTTTACAAACCGGCTGGCTTTGGGACTGAAGTAGTCCGGTCACTTCACGTGACGACGTCGGTCAAGTTGAAATGGTTGCGCCTTCGGTGACCGTGGTCAAAGTGTATAAAAATAACGAAGACGCTGTGGGTGAAAATTGGTCAAAATAAACTGGAAAGCATGCTTAAACAGTTTGCATCGCCTAATCTCTCTCTCGGTTTTAGCCACAGCGTGTGACATTTCAGACCTGCTTCGGAAGCGGTGCCACTGGCCGCTTTCTGGCCCATTAATGATGCCTGTGTAGGTCGGTGGAATGTTGAGATTGTTTAGTGGTTTGTAAATGGTGCACTCGTCTCTAACACGTAGCTGGTTGAGCTGCTCTGGAATCCGAGGTCGGACATCAGTGTTTAAAAACGTCCACAAACCGGCGGATCCGTGGTTTGTGCTTGAGCATACGAGACCGCTCGCCACATCAACCTCTAGTTTTGTCAGTACGGATGCCCCCTTCCTCTTTTGTCGCAGCATATTGGTCTCGTGCCGCCGCGACACCAAGCCGCCGAAATTTTGGCCCGTTTCAGAAAATGTTACATAGTCCCTGTTTTCTGATGGTGGAGGTACAACTGTTGATATCGTAACATCGTAAGAAAGACCTTTTAAATTTTTCGCAGCAAGCACGCGTGGAACTGCGTAACATAACTAACGTGATCGCAGCACAACAAAACTAGATGACGTCATGCCTCAATGCCCACAACCTTACGTTTAGTGAATCCTGGGCCAAAATGAACTGCAACACAACGGACGGGTAGATGGACATCCCAGCTGGACACCTCAGTCAGCTGTACACAACTGGCCAGTTGGACACACACAAATATCCGCTGGATACACAGAGCTCGTCACCTGGCCACGCACAGCTGGTCAGGTGGTTACACACTGCCAGTCAGCTGGCCACCCAGATGGTCAGCTGGGCACACAACTGGCCAGTTGGCCATACGCAGCTGGTCAGGTGGTTACACACTGCCGGTCAGCTGGCCACCCAGATGGTCAGTTGGGCACACAACTGGCCAGCTGGCTATGCCCAGCTGGTCACTGGATATACACATCTGGTCAGCGGGTCGCCTACGGCATTGGCAGCCATCACACACACGCACGTACGCACACACGCACGCCCGCAGGCACGTGCGCACGCCAGCTCGCCACACACTCAGCTGGTCAGGTGGACACCGGCGCCGGTGCGGGGGACGGCGCGGTCACTGACCGGTGCTGGCGATGGGCCGACTGTTTGAAGCAGTCGGCGCAGAGCACGCAGGTCGGGTCCTGCTCGCAGTCGCGGCAGCTGTAGGTCGGGTCGCCGTTGTTGAACACCTTACCGCACATGCCGGACGTCGTCGGGGCCGCCTGCCCGACCCAGACCGTCAGCTCAGGCCCACACGCGCGCACGCGCGCCCACTCAGCCTCGACAGGCAATCATGCGCACTGGACATCATACCGTCGGTCAATCGTCTCCGATATGTCACAATACGACAATTCGCCCTCTCACGACAGTCGTTCGGTCCGACAGTGAATGGCGCTCAGGTAAAGACAAACCAGTCACAATCGGCTCTCCGCGCGGCCCGGTCAGGGGTCTCAGCATGGCAGCCAGTTTACCCAGTCCGCGCTGATGTCCAGCCGCAGGGCGAGCTCTACCGACTACAGACGCAAAACCACATCAACGGCGCCACGCTGAACAACACCCAGCCGCCGACGAACTCCCGCAAGTCTGCGACAGGTCCACGCGCGACGCAAGCTACTGAGACGTCCGGCTCCAGGCAGCACCATCTGCGGCTGCGTATGCGCCGGCGCCGGCGCCTCTCACCTGGCCCGCGGTCTCGTCATCGCCGAGCAGCAGCTGCGAGAGCGGCTGCAGCAGGAGCCGCTGGCAGCGCGCCTCGTCGTAGGCCCAGAGGTCGGCGCCGGTGGCCGTCGGCTCCGCCAGACGGGGCACCGACTCCTTCCAGAAGTCGCTGCGGCACCGCCGGCTCCGGTTAGAGGCGGGGAGAGTGGAGGGAGGAAGGGCAGGGGGTGGCAGAATGGCAAGTCCCCGCCGGTCACCTTTACGGCCGGAGCTCAGACCACAATGTGTTTTGGTATCGGGAGAGGCGCACCAATACTGCAAAGTGGCGACCGCACACACACAGTCGGCGCGCGGGGCGTAACCACGTCCACCGTTGGCCTGCCCACGAGCCCGTCCACCGAACGATGCCGCCACGCTGTTCCCGAGCGCGTCAAAGCGAGACCTTGGTCCTGAAATGCGGACACGACGACAGCGACAGGCGCACATCTGGCTGGTGCGCCGTATCGCGATTTCCGGCTGTCGCTGTGACCGATCAGTGCGTGATATAGCCACTGCAGACTGTGCAGCGCTCCACGAGCGCTGCAGCAGTCTGCAGTCTGCCACCGATGAGCTGAGGCGCCATGCGGTCCGAGCTCACCGCGTGGTGCCCACCCGGAGCATCCTCACCGTATGATGTCGGCGGCGAGCTCCCGCCGTCTGAACAGGTCCTCCCACGCTTCCACGGGCGTGGCCAGGTCCGCCTCCGCCATTGCTCGAGAGTCGCTCTCGCTCCCTCCGCGGCGAGCACGTCTGCAACGCCAGCACGACCGTCGTCACCAGCGCCCGGCGCCGTCGCCGCGCACTGGACCAGCTGGCGGCGGCCCGGGCCGGCTGGCCACGCGTGGCTCGCAGCCAGACGCGCTGGCGCGGCACCGGCCGGCCGGCACACCTGCAGGGGCGTCGTTGGCAGAGCGGCCGTGCCGCCAGCCGGCACGGACCAGGCGAACCGTCGGCCGGTCGGCGCTGTGAACCAGGTCCGGCACCGCGCTCCGCTCGGCCGACGGTCCGACTACGCAGCGCAGCCAGCTGCACGGACCAGGCGAACCGTCGGCCGGTCGGCGCTGTGGACCAGGTCCGGCACCGCGCTCCGCTCAGCCCACGGTCCGACTACGCAGCGCAGCCAGCTGCACGGACCAGGCGAACCGTCGGCCGGTCGGCGCTGTGAACCAGGTCCGGCACCGCGCTCCGCTCAGCCCACGGTCCGACTACGCAGCGCAGCCAGCTGCACGCCGCGCCATGGCTGGCCAGCACAGCAGGGGTCTGTACACCGCGTGCCAGACTCCGAGTCCAGAGGGAGGGACTATGGTCATCATCGAGCTGTCTGGGTGGCGGGCGGTCGCCCGAGGGTGTCGGGCTGGAAGTAGGGAGCACACGGCCTGGCACGGCACGACACGCTCAACGTTAAAGTATTAACCTGACTGTGGCAACATCACTGCAAATACATGGGAGGGAGGAGGGATAGAATGACGAGGATAAATCGTGGATAAATAACCAAACCATTAGTGCATGGGGAGGGGTTAAATCGGACTCAAACAAGTAACACATAAGTTTGTTTTACGGGCGCTTCAGGCGAACAGTCTAGCGTTCGAACTCTGAGCCACACACAGCTTGTCTGACGCTCAACCCATCACCGAGCAGGCCACGCTGACAGGAAAGGCGAGCACCGCGGAGATACAGGGGCCCCATTCCTCGCGGTGCAGGCCGCTCCTGTCAGGGTGAGAGGCAGGCGACGCCGTATAACCTGACCTCCGTCTCAAATATTCCATTGCCTGTCGGACGCAATATTGTTGTCATGCGATGCGATGGGATTAAAGTATATGCTGAAACGTTAACACATGCGTAATAAAGTGTAAAAAGGTCAACTTCCTGCAGGCTTCTACTAAGGCAAAACAATGCCAAAGTCACTGATCAGGCCGCAAGATCTGCGCTCAAAATCTGCAAAAGATACCACACTATGTATGACAACAACTTACAAAAGCACGCCATAGATGTCCAGCGTGTGCAAACGTCATCATAGCACCGAATCTGCGCCTCCCCGCCGCGCTGTGCTCGCGCCCCATTTGTTTCCCGATCTCAGAGCCGACAGCGCAGCACGCACAGCCGGAGCTGGCCGTTCGATTGTGTGACGCACGCCGTCCTCATTACGTATTTATAGCGGCCCGCTGACCGCAGCAACGACAACGACAGCCAAGCACGGGCCGCAGAAAGGAGCAGGACAATACGGCACCGCTGTACTGTAGAGGCTGGGAGCAAGCAGTGGCCGACGGCCGTCCGCCCTCCCCAACACATGGCGGGTAACAGGGGTGTTCAATCTACCGAACAGGCAGCTCATAATTCTATTAGAATGAAAGCGCTGGCCGAAAACATCAAGCTTTCCAGCCCCGTTTGCGAGCCCTCCGGGAATGATCGTAAATTTAGTGACTCTTCTAACCACTGCTCTCACACTATTCTTCCCAGATTTTAAGACCACAATCAATATAGAACCATACACATGCATTGTTCCCGGAAGGAACTGAGTCTGATCTGTGCTGACATCTTTTTTTGTTCCACCCCTTGTATGCTTGAATGCTACTATGCATAACCTAAGCAAATAATTTTCACATGGCTTGACACAGATCACACCTGATAATGCGACAATAATATCCACATTAGTCAATTTTCAAGAATCCAACTACACTTCAAAGACAAGCACTTCCTTCTTGCATTTTGGTGATGGTGTTCTTGGTGTTCTACGGAGGGCTGGCTTACTATTAAGCAACGCAAACGCTGTACCTCGTCTTTGGATTGCTGTGTGGAAAAATTAGTTATGATCACGTATAAATTATGGCGCTCTTTATATGCTTGAACTAGAGATAATGAACGCCACGTCCCAGCACATCCCTGATGCAATCCAGCAGGACACCACAAGCATTAATACGTCCATTTCCAGTTAGGTTCAATCCGTGGATGATGGCAGCTTCCAGTATATGACCCATTGCCAGTCGGCCTAAGCGATCATGGTTTCCACCAATTTGCACGTAGTTCTCATTCATTTTTCATGTAATGAATGTGGGCACTGTCTTCACTGAGTGTAACTGGAGAGATGATACAGGAGATGAAAAAGCCTCGGTAAGCTCATCGATGCCAACCAGGCCGTGATTTTCAATGGAAAAATGTTTCGCGCATAATATACACCCAACACCCATACACCCAATATAAGCCCATATATAACATATGGCTGTTCCCAATCCTATCAATGTCCGCTCGCAAATGATCAGTACAAATTAAAAGCCTAGCAATTTCGTCCTCTTTCCACAGCACTTTGAAACATAATGCTGGGTCAGAAGATGGCGAGCAGTTTTTAATCAGGTGCAGCAAAGCCAGTTATGGGGAAAAGGTCAGTTTCGGCCTTAACTCCATGCCATTTAAGACAACAAGTCCAAATGATGGCTCCAGCTTGGGCTCCATGAACTGCTGACTTTGGCTTTCTCAAGGTGATCTTTCACTTCAGTTACGTCCTGGCTTCTCACAAACGTACTGGTCTGTGCAGTCAACCCAATGTGCCACACAACTTTCAAGGGCATGATTCATGCATGTGGAAAAACCCAAATCAGTTGATCATTCTTTGAGCCCATGGACACCTGATGATGACCACAGAACAAACCATTTGAAACACTGTACACTAATAATACACAAGACCACGATAATCAGAAAAAGTAATCCCCAGTGATAATGCATTGTTTCAATCCTTCGCAAAACCTTCACAGTATTTCATGACACCATACAGTTTTATCCAACAACAAAATGGTCCTGTGTTACAAAAACAATGTTGCTAGCTACTTTTGGTCCCAGCTCAGACCTCACAGCTTTGAAACGATGGCTTGGTTTTGGTTCTGCATTGTTGGGTTTGAAGCCTCAGGCTTCTGCTTTCACTTTGTGCAGAAGCCACTGGCTTCAGCTCTAGCTCCAGCTTTGAAGTTCCAAAGTTTAAAGCCAGTCTTCCTACTTTGGTTTCATGTCATTATCTTAGCTTTGGATATAGCTTGAGATTCAGAAGCCTGGCTTCATCCCCATGCTTCAACACAGCATGAATTTTTTTTACTGAGTCATGACATAAGTAATTTTTGCATCAAGAGCAGCTTGAATCTTTTTTGGCCTGACCTTTGTTCAGAAACATGCTGTTTCCCCATGATCGAGAGATAATGGCGGTGTCCTAGAATTGCCGACTTTGGGTGTAAAGCATCACCCTATGGGGAGGAATTTTTCACTCATTTTCCCCAAATTTTGTGAATATTTCACCCTTGCCTGACATTGTCTAATCGCACATGCCATACCCCTATTTCCCTTTCTGAGCTTTTCAGATGTCATCCAAAACCGAGCTGACTTGAAACCGCCAAGCATAAACGAGGCTCCACAGAACCTGGACACCTACGGCTATGTCCTGCCTCACCTACATCTGAATCATGTCTATGTATGCATACGGCAAGGGCGCCAGGTACCTCCAAGACCAAGAACCCCAGCGACCCAGGCCGCTTGCACGCATTAAGTTTGGTTTGTTTACAAAATCCTTCACGATCTGCAGCTGTGCACCAAATACAGGGTTTTCACGCATCCCCTATTTTTTTTTTTTTGTCTCACCACCACACCACGAAAGCAGAGCCTAGTGCAAACACCAGCGAGACCTGGTAGAGAATTTTGCTCCGTTTTTTTTCCCGAGGAAACTTGACCACTAAATTGCATCACTCCCGAAATGCAGGAGTGAAGAGTTCAAGAAATGTCTTCTAAATTAAATTTACACGATGAATATCACCATTTGAGCACATATGTTACCAGATTTTAAATCAAATCAGCTGATACAAATTTTTTCGGGACAAATACCAGTATTTATATTTATTTAGCTACTTTTCTTTTTCCTGGCATCATACGAGTCTCATACCACTTCATTCTTCCTCCCTTTCCGATTGCCTTTAGAGGTACCAACTGCTGCTTAAAATTTTGACCAATTTCTCAGCAAGATACTCCAACTGCAAACTTGTACGTACTTCATACATAAATTGGATTAATTCGCCAGCCGCCAAAACATGTTTGCTATGCACCCAAGCATAAACAATTCACAGGGAATGAAGGGGACAATTTGAAACACGGAACTTATTTTTACCGCCCTTTTTGCCCCGTCAAACCCTCGGTTAACCGTTTTCTTTGTTCATGGCGGTGCTCAATAATGATAAATCTGAGCCTTTCGAGTGTCTAACTCGCCAGGCTACCTGGCAAGGCTATCCAAATGCTGCCAGAAAGAGCCTTGGGACAAACCTGACGCAGCTAATACAGCAGTGTTTGATGGCGAAATTCTGCTCTCTGGAGATGTTTATCATGCACACCTCTTACTTGTTTCGCATTTTAATCCCGTAAGTTGGTCGGCATGATTGATATTTATATTTGGGGGGTGACTGGGATGACTGTCTGCCAGCAGACCACGCAAAGGGTGCTGACTTTTTATTTTTGGGAGAGCAGGAAGAAGCCAGGAAGTCTCCTGAGGACCGAGTAATTGCTTACCGTACTTGCTTTCAACGCATGATTGGTAACCAGAGTCAGACATTTTCTGTTTTAATCCATCAAGTTTTGTCATAAGACAAATTATGATGCCACAAGGCATGCAGCAGGCTTATTTTGTTCCATATTCTTGGTTATTTGCCCCAAATTTCTTCAAGTGGTTCCTTATGGCTGTGTGTCTTTGGGGCTTTACGACGCACTCAGCTGCTGAGGCTATACGGCGTCGCCTACCTCTCACCCTGGCAGGAAGGGCGGGTACCGCGGGGAATTCCTCATGGCTGCTTTAACCAGATGTTTTCTATAGATTTCATGGTGTGCTGACTGGCAAATGACTGTACTGTATATATGCACTATATTTTTAACACAGGGATACTCTAAGCTGCATAGCAATTACACTATGAGTTAAATATTAGTATGTAACAAATAGTCAAACCATCCCATTTAAAATGTGAAGCCAACATCTCAAATTTTGTCATTAAATATGAATAAACAAGCCTAAATGGATGCCCTTACTGCAGCTGACAAGGCAAGCAGCAATACTGGCATGGTCATCCGAAAGGTCTGTTACTTTTGGAGAAGAAAGGTTGTTTTGTGGAGCATACTCATCATTGCCCTTGACATAAGTTAACCATGACAATCAAAACAAATTGTTTAAGGTGATTTAAAGTATTTTGGTTTGTCTGCTGTCAACTTTGTCTGATGTCAACAAGCATACACAAATTAACTGAATAACAATGCAAGTTGAAACCAGCCAAAAACTAGCTTTAGTTTTATCACAAGTGCTGCTGTCAACAGACAAGTGAGTTGAGATGATGTTCATCATATGGGCTACTCTAAGTTAGGTTAAGTTGGTCAAGTGCATGGCAAGTGGCAATGGGAATTGTGCAAAAATCAGTAACTCACAACTGCTGCTGTGATACAAACAGGTTATACAGGATGAGATGATGTAAGGCATCTTTAGGTCAGCCATAGGCTACTTTCACGGAAATAAGCATTGGTATTTTGTAAGAAACAGCGACAAAATGTTTGTTTTCCATGACCCCATCTTGACAGAAGCCAGAGGTATGTCTATTGTGTTTGACTTGGCAATGGACTGATGTGTAGGAGTCCAAGGTTTTTTGTTTGAGTGTTTTATGCTTGTTTAATTTTGTTATTTTGTTATTGAATTCCTTTGCTTTGTTTTGCTTTAAAAGTGCTGTGGAAGTGAAGTCAGTCAGAAAAAGCAGGGTCAAATTATCGGTGTTAAGAATTTGTATGCTCATGACGCTATCATGAAATTACTATGCTTTAACACGCGCCCGGTCGGCCGGCTAAGTACCCTTCGCTCGGATGGGGGAGGGTCAATTTAACCCCCTCTGATATCTCGGGAACTAAGGCAGCTAGAGACACCAAATTTTCAGGATGTCTTGACCTATACGTGAACCCACTCAACTTACGGTTTCAGCTTACTAGGTCATGACCTTCAGGTCAAATAAGGTCAAACAAGGTGAAATTCTAGGTTGGTTTCCAAAGCGCCCCCAGAACCTAGGCAACTATCTCTAAGCAAAACATCACAAGCCCATTTGAGGCCATTGACCTTGTTTGACCCTTCGAAGGTCATGGTGACCGAAATGGTACAAGACCGCTCTGAGTTTGCATTTGAATAAGCAACAAACACTACGCTAGGCAGTATGTTCTTAAAACAAAAAGTTTGACCCAGGTTATCTTAGGTCAATGGCCTGTTCTGACCTGTAAGAAGTCAACTGAAGATATATAATGCGGTTCCTGCTGTCAATAAATTCGAAATGGGCACCAGAAACTATCCCCTACAGCAAGCCCAAGAGTAATAAATCAGGTTGGTTTTGACCATCCTCTGACCTTCATATCTGACCTTAGGTCAAAGCTATTTGCTCATTAAATATTTGTGGTACCTAAGAAATCATCTCAGGAATGTATGTCTTCGCCAAACACTCCGTTGTTGTATCAGATTGAACGATTCCCTAGAAATTGCCTTTGCTGAAACCAGGGCCTGACTTTGACCTGTCATAGGTCAGTGACTTTACAAGGTACATCTAAAATTTCTATGTCAAATGGTCTGCTTAGCAATTTTCTACAGCTATGCAAAAGTTGGCGTGGCTACGCCGAGCTGTTCAGAAACCATTCGTGAAAAACCCTCGGGGGGGTCAATTTGCCCCCCCCCCGCACCCACCCGAGTGTATGCTAATGTATTCTGTTTCACTTTAATGGCCTAAGGTGTTAAAAAACGAAATAGTTTTGTCAGGTTCCTGATATTACATCCATGCCAACTTGAAATAGATGTATTTGTTTGCTGAAGCATCAGTCACAAGCTCATAAGTTCCATCTTTTGTGAATTGATTTTTTCACTCCCGCATGGTCTTTTTGCGATGGAATTTTTCACTCCCACCTTAGTTCAAAAGCGATTCTAGCTCCCTGGATAATGGCCACAATAATTTGTTAGCTTCTACAAGAGAGGTACTGCCAGGCCAACCTTCTTATCCTCCCAATGCATCTCAAGAGTTGGCAGACAGCAAACATCTGACATATCTGACATAATATCATGTTTGCTGACAGGCAATATCAAGACCAGGGATTACCACTGATATGCAGATGTGACTCAAAAAGCAGCAATGCCACTGGGTTAAGTCTGCATTAGACAAGTTACATTACTAATTTACCATTTTAGGATGCACCAATGGCTACACTACATTTCTTGCTCATGAGACTCATTACATCAAAATTTAGTATTACATTACGCACATCATCATCTTCAGCACCAGCTGATGTCAGAGTCCCCTATAACCAGCCTTAGAAAAGAGGGCAAATTATGTCTCAAAATGCCTGTGGATCACATTATAATGGCATTCCATAGCTGTATTTGTAAATGACTGGCCATCCAGGAGGTTTATCAAGTTATGTTAAGTGTTCCCCATTATTATACTTCTTGATGGAAACACTACATAACAAGCAGTTCCAATTGCCTGCCACCAATTTTAACCCAATACAGTCTTGTCAAAGTTAGCACCTTACCCTTCTCCAACTTTTAGATGATGATAGTGTATGCATGTGTTTTACATCATTTCTTTACATATGATCATGCCCATCGAAATGTTTTTTATCAGAAAGGTGGTCAAAAGATAAAGGACTTACTGAGACTAGCTACTAGCCTGGCAACTTACACATGCATGTGGCTGTAAAGTGGAATATTGCTAATTATTTTCACATGCATCACATTAACTTGCTTAAGCCACTGAAGACACACACATCAAATTTTCTTCCTTACCTTACCTTACCAAACATTAACTGATGGGTTGTTTGGTTGTTTGGTTGTTAACTGACAGCTTGAAAACATACTTATCCAGATATTTCTGAATTTGAAGTTAGATTTCTTTGATCACTACATTATTTTGACAGGTTGTACAAAAATAAATATAACTGATAACATACCTATTATTAAGTACAAATCTAATGAACTTCTATGCAGAAGTACAAAATTCATACTTTCCAAGCTTTGGCTAAAACATACCAAGTATTGCAGTATTCATCCAAGCTACATATATTAGGAATGGGTATTTCCCTTTGAGTACCTTCTATCTATACATGTATTATATTGCACATATTACACTTTGACTCCCTCTCTTTTAATATACCTGCACAAGAACAATTAATCAATGTAGAAGGAAGCACCATGTGAGAAGAAGCAGAGTAGAAGTGTCTTATGCCATGCATTTCACATGTGATTAAACCTTTAAATATTACAGATCATGTGACTACACATCAAATTAGCCTATACTCCAACACATCAATCAACTAACCTGGGCACATGTTACTAGCAGTCATGACAAACCATATAAAGACCATGTGTGCATGTTGATGTATAATTGAGGCAGGCTTGTCTGACAGACCCCAAATAGGACATACTATCAGTCACCCAGCACACCAGCAGTGCATACTTTGACATGATGTTTGAGACACATCCATCATACCCAAAATTGGGAAAACAACTGTCAAATTAAGCAACAACAGAACAGGCATTAATACAATATCACTAGTTACCCGCTAAAATCTAAGAACAAAGCGCAATCAAAGTGAAGTCTCCAAACAGAGTAGCTCAATATCACTGGTCGGAAGAGGTTGAAGATATCGCATGCATCGAAGATGTCAACTTCAATATAAAAAATGGGCTACGCCTGACAACAAATGATGGTTTTTGCAAGCGAATACTTATTCCACGAAATTTACTTTCAACTGCCTATCAGATCACCCACACCCACCTGTTAAGTGTAAAATTGTGAGAATGGCCCGTATGTTCACAAACGCCACACTAACCCGCAACCTCCTCTTTCTCTTTTGTTGACTTCAATCAGCTGTTTGGTTTAGGAAGATGTTCAGAAAGTCTAATGCCGCCGTGTTAGCAGCTGTGACGTCACTGGAAGGCTACCAACGAGGAGCCGCGATGCGTTCGTTCGGAAACTATGCTAGATGACTAGATGACTCAAGGGTGGATTCAGAATTTCGTCAAACGGGGGGGGCACGCAACGATGTAGGGCCCCCGGAGTCTGGGGCCCCCTCCAAAAAATATCCTTGCATTTCGGTGGTTGCATTTTAAGACAAGTCGTATGTAAATTATATATATATATATATATATATATATATATATATATATATATATATATATATATATATATATATAGATATATATATATATGTGTGTGTGTGTGTGTGTGTGTGTGTGTGTTTGTGTGTGTGGAAATATACAAAGGTACGTGTATATATGCATGTATGTATTTACTTATTCATTTATTTCATGAAAACGGAAACTCATCTTACTGTGTACGGCCGTATAAAGCTAGGCGTGCTACGCATGCATACACATAGAACTCACTCACTTTCTACAGATCATGTTAAATGCTGTGATTTTGAGCCTAAGTGTTTCGGAACAATAGACAAAATAACCTGAGTGAGCTGATTATATGATGCAGTGCGTGAGCAGGTCAGCATATAGGGCCCCCGTCAAAAGCGTAGGGCCCTCCATTCAAATAGGAAGTACCCACAACCCAATGAAGAGCGCCCACGAATGATCGGGTGTGTCCGAGCCGGTTAGTAATTAGGGATCCCAACAAGAGCGTATGGCCCTCCATTCCAATGGGAAGCACCGAAGACCTTATGCGAATGGCCCCAGAATGATAGAATGTGCCCGAGCAGCTTATCAGACGGGGACCGAGAAGAACGAAGGGCTCTCCATTTAAATAAAAAGTACCCAAAACCAATTGCGGAGGGCCCCCGACAGATGGAGTGTACCGGAGCAGATTATCAGGCGTCCCAGACAGGGGTGTAGGGCCCCCACGACACTATGTGGAGGGCCCCCGGATATTCGGGTGTGCCCGGGCAGGTCAACAGATGAGACCCCGGCAAGAGCGTACGGCCTTCCGCTCGAATACGAAATACTCATGACACGGTGTAGAGGGCACCGAATAATCGAGTGCTCCAGGGCAGGTTGACAGAAAGGGCCCCCGAAAAGCGCGGAGGGCCCTCCATTCAAAAATAAAGCACCCAAAACCACATGTAGAGGTCCCCACGATCGCTTGGGCCCGACCATCTTATCAGAAAGGGCCCCGACAGGAGCGCAAGGTCCTCCATTCAGATAAAAAGTACCCAAAACCCAGTGTGGAGGGCTTCCGAAAGATGGAGTGAACCCGAACAGGTTATCAGATGACCTCGATAGAAGCAGAGGACCCTAAATTCAAACACCAAGAACCAGTGTGCAGGGCCCAAAAGCAATCCAGTGTGGCCGAGGAGGCGAACAGAAGAAGCCCCGACAAGTGCGTATGGCCCCATCCAAATGGCACGTGCCCAAGGCACGATGTAGAGGGCCCTCGAACGATTGAATGTGCCCGAGCAGGTTATCAGATAGCCCCACCCCCCACAAAGCGTAGCCCCCCCCCCCCCATTAAGAAAAGAAGTGCCCAAGACCCAGTGTGAAGGGTCCCCGAATGACTGCTGTGCCCAAGCAGACCATCAGATGGGCCCCGGCAAGAGTGCAGGGCCCTAAGCAAGTGATAGAAAATTGGAAGCTCCCTAAACCAATGAAGAGGGCCCATGAGCATATCGCAAGTGTGTTGGTACGCTAAATGAGACCCACGTAAAGGGCCCCTGAGCAACCGAGAGTACCCCAGCAGGTCAAGATATGGGACCCCGGCTGTAGCCCACAGAGCCTTTCTGGCGAAGGGAAAGAACACATGGAAGGGCCTGTGATTGACAACAGTGCCCCGGCGCGCTAGCAGGAAGGACCCAACAAAAGCGCAGAACCCCCCGAGCAAATGCAAAGGAATAAAGGACAACTTGGAATGCATCTCAACTATCGAAATGATCTTGCATGTGGGCATATAGGTCTCCCAGAAACAGCATGGGGCCCCTAGACAGTGCAATGAGCCTTAAAACTTCAAGTTCACAACTCTTCCAATCATTGAATAATTTGTTGGCTTCTTAAGGGGCTTTCACTTTCGCTTGCAACTGTCATTGGTCGTCGAGAAGTCCAGAAATATCCAGTTTTGTTGCGTCTTTTGTTGCCGCCCACCTTTAAGGTTTAAGTTGCGATTAGCCTGTATTTTGTGTTTGCGCGCTTATTTCCCATGTTCACCAGCAATCTTCGTCAAAACAAGCTGGACGCAACTGCTTGACGTGGTAAATGGCGGCAGCTTATCCTATCATTTAAGGCAAACAATACTTAGTGATGAATTCGTTGTAACTCTGGTTCCAGAGGTTCCGTTTCTTTCTTATCATTTAGCCATGGTCAGTAGCGCAGGCAGGGGTCACAGGCACGTGCCCCCCGCCATAGATTCCGAGGGGCCCTTCGGGCCCCCCGGAACCTGCGACTAAAGATCCTATTTGAGGCCTGAAGGGCCCGAAAGGCCGGCCGGAGGTCCCGTTCAGGACCCCCGGCACGCGGGACCGGGCACTTTAATGCCAGCCAGACGGCCAGTGTGCTGATCAGGGGCCCACTGAGTCGATAAGGGCCTATATGTCGGCCAGACACCACCAGTAACGCACAGCCGGCGCCGCGGCAGAAAAGGCCTCAGGGCCCGTGCCCAAACAGGGACAAAGCAGCGGCCAGCGATTTATATTGTTCGGAGCCCCACAGCGTCTAACAGCGGCCCTGTGTTGTCAAAGGGCCCCGAGTCGGCCAGAGGCAGTGTTCGAGCAGGCCCGAAAAGTCGAGAGGGCTCACTGGGTCCGACGATAAAGGATGCGATTGGAAAGTCTGAGGGCATAAAGGTCTAGTCTGGGTCTTATTCAGCGGCCCCGACCTGAGAAGACAGACCGTGGAATAACAACCAGAGGGTCCTTTGCGTCGATCAGGGACCCCCTGAATCGATTTGGGCCTGTATGTCGGTCAGGCACCACCAGTACCGCACAGTCCGTTCCGCGTCGGTGTGGGCCTGAGAATCCACTTCCGAATCAGCTTTAAAGCCAGGGCCAGTGATTTTTACTGGTCGGGGACCGTTTATCTGTCAGGAGCCCACAGCGCCTTACACAGGGTCCTGTGCTCACACGGGCCCTGAGTCGACCAAAGAAAGTATTCGATGACGCCCGAAGAGGGGCCCGGGCGGCACGCCGGAACCAAGCATCAAAGGCCCGGTTGGAGGGCATGAGAGCCCGAGGAACTGGCTGAAGGTTACATAAAGAATCGCCGCCCGTAGGGTCATGACCTGAAATATCAGCCAGAGGGCCTCTTGCACCGTTTGAGGATCCCCTGAGACAATGCGGGTGCTTAAGTCGGTCCAAGACCACGAAAACCGAATAGTCATCTCCATGGGCGTCTGGGCCCTTGGGACCCATTTCCCAAGCAGAAATGAGGCCGGGGTCCGCGATTTGCAATGCCCGGGGTCCCAGACACACTGAAGGGCTTCTTCCATGTCGGATAGAGGCCGCAATGCCTAACAGGGATCCTGTGGCGGCAAGTGGCCCCGGGTCGGAGCGGTGGTTGAGGGGGTCCGAAGAAGAGCCGAAGACGATCAGCAAGAAGAAGCTTTAGATTTTTAAAAAAAAATTTAGTAAGATGATCAGTGAGATGATCTTTTGCACCGATAGGGACCTCCGAGACAGAGCGTTCCTCTATTTCGACCAGAGATCTCGAACAACGAACAGTCAACTTCGCGTTAGTTTGAGCTCTGGGGGCCCATTTCCCAAGCAGGGACAAGGCTGGTCACGCGATTTACATTGATTGGGCTCCTGTATCGTGCAGGGGCTCACAAGCCTAACAAGGCATTGTGTGTCAACAAGGGGTCTCGAATCGGTCAGGGGAAGGTTTGCTCAACACGGACGGGGACGAGAGCCCGAATGACAGAGGGACTCCTGCGTTGGTCGGTGCCCTCTGACAGATGAAGGAAACGTAAGAGCTCATGTTGAGTGCTCACGTTAAGGCAATAGAAGAGCCCTATGCCAGTCAGGATCCCAGCACCGAACAGCGTGTCCCCCCATCCCTATTCCAGCATGGGCCCGCCAAGACACTCTGGAGTCTATGTGCCAACTGTTTCAACACCTGCGGCGAGCAGGGATGTTGTTCCTTGATGACGCCTCATGTGTCGATCCGGGATCAACTACGCGAGTCAGAAGTCAGAAGGCAGAAGGTCAGAAGGAAGCGGATCAGTGTGATGCGATGTATCCCTCTAAGGTCCTCCGGATTGGCCAGGGTATGCCGCCCCGTGTCGCCAGAATGACGGCCGGACGACAGACCGCGATGGGACAGAATGGCCCTTGAGCCCTTGACCGTTAACAACAATGTGCCCGGTATTGTTGCACTCAAAAGGCCCATTTATCGGACAAAATAAAGGGTCTCATAAGTGTTCGGTGGAATGGGTCGACATGGGTTTAAAACACACAGGGCCATCCCATGTTTCCCTGGAGACGTTTATTGTGTTGCAGAATCGACTAGTGAAACAAATGACACCAAAGGGTTTGAGCCTGCGCGCCGGGTGCTGACAGTGCAGCGGTTAACGCACCTGCGTTAACCACTGCGCGTCTGGGAAACTACAGGTACAGAGTTTGATTGCCCGCGGTGGCCGCCCAGGGTGAGAGGCTGGCGACGCCATATAGCCCCAGCAGCTTAGTACGCCATAAAGCCTCAATGACACGCCCGTTATCTCGGGGAGCACGGATAGCCATGGCTTGGATTGCAGTTTTCGTCAAACCGAACGGCGTTGGCCACTCCAAGTAACGCCAGGCGCGGGTGCCGTGCGCGCAACAGTGACCGTCGTAAAAATGTTTTTGAATATATTTCGAAATTCATTCGTTCAGTTCAAATATTACACCTGGCGAATGTTTATTTTCCAACTTTGAGACTGTCCTCTGGATAGAT